ATGGGCATGGTTGGCTTTTGTGACACAAGAAGTATTATTTGACAGGTCTCAGAAGATACGTCTTTTCTTTCACCATGCCTCTCATACGGAAGGGCCTTCTCACTTTCAGAAGGTTCTCCAAACTTGGCTTGGTTTCCCCCAGGCCCTGGGTTGGGAGAGACTTAATTCATCTAGTTGCCCTATTCAGTTCATGATTTAGGATTCATCATCCATAACGGTAATCTATATACAGTATATAAAAGCGAAATCCACTCACTCATCACGAAATCTCCAGAACGGTAAAACCTACAAACTTGAAATTTGGCACGTATGTTCCTTTTGGCGTCTAGGTGCTCGCTAAGAAAGGATTTTTCAAAATGACTATAATTAATACTTCATATATAGTATATTCATATACAGTATATTCACACGCTCTGATGCTAAGGAGTTAGAGGTTCTATTTCCCCTCTCCACCTGAAAAGTTCCAACTGCCGGTTGCCTCACATTCCGTTACCTCAGTTCACACTGGCAGATGTTCCACTCCTTCACTCAGGAGTGGTCTGGGGCTCCTTCCAATACTAAACGTCCCTACCTCATCAAAATATCTACGCCTTCCACCTATGGAATTGCTTCCGAACTTAAGGCGGCGGGAGAGATATTCCCTTATGAGTTTCAATCACCGACCACCGAAAATATTTCAAAAAATATAGTTCAAAACAGCAACATGCCTGTAAAGTGAACAGTTTGGAAAACTAGGTATTGTCTAGTCCCGTGATGGCGAACCTATAGCACGTGTGCCACAGGTGGCACGCGTAGCCATATCAGTGGGCATGCCAGCTCAGCTCTGGCGTGCATGCGTGCACCGGCCAGCTGATTTTTGGGCCTTCTGGGCCCACCAGAAGTAGGGAAACAGGCTGTTTCCTGCCTCCGGAGGGCCTGGGGGAGGGCATTTTTCTTTCTCACCTGGCTCCATATCCCCTCTATGCATATGGGGAGGGTGAAAACATTTTTTGTTGTCTCTCCTAGAGAGGCCCTGGAGGCTGGGGACAGCAAAAAAGTCACTTCCTGTCAAACCAGAAGTTGGGAAACGGGCCGTTTCAGGCCTCTGGAGTGCCTCTGAGCGGGTTGGAAAGGCTGTTTTCGCCCTCCCCAGATGCATAGAGGGGATCTGGAGCCAGGTGAGAAAGAAAAACGGGCCTACCGGGCCATCACGTGCCAGGAGCAGGGGTGGGAGGGGGGTCACGTGTGCATGCGCAAGGTGGGACACATAGAATTATGTGTGTGGGCACACGCACACACAAACCTCCCCCGCCCCCGCCCCCCCTGGCACGTCATGGCAAAAAAGTTAGCCATCACTGGTCTAGTCTAATGAAGAGAACTAGGAATGACATGACAATTGTCATCTAGAACTTGAGGGTTTGTCACAGAGAAGGAGGGGGGTGTCAACCTATTCTCCAAAGCACCTGAGGGCAGGAGAAGAAGTAACAGGTGGAAACTAATCAAGGAGAGAACCACCCTAGAACTAAGGAGAAATTTCCTCACAGTGAGAACTATTAATCAGTGGAAAGGCCTCCCTACAGAAGTTGTGGATGCTCCATCACTGGAGGTTTTTAAGAAGAGACTGGACAGCCATTTGTCCTCAATGGGATACGGTTTGCTGCTTGAGCAGAAGGTTGGACTAGAAGACCTCCAAGGTCCCTTCCAACCTTGCTAATCTATGTTAAACCACTTCCATAAATTCAATGGGGGATTTTCACCAGCCAAGAGGGTTCCACCTTGTAGATGCAGACCCATAGAAAGCCCAATTTTTTTCCTGTGTCTAAGATAACATAAATATGCAACTAAAAGTATCAGCAAGTGATGTCAGACCTGCTTCAAGAGCCCTGCAGAAGTGGGTCTACAGATTAAGGGACCGATCTCAGAAAACAATTGACAGATCAGAAATGGCAGGCCACGATTTTCACTTTGTTGACTTTTTGCTTAATATGTGTTCTCCTTCAAGTAATCTTCCAAGGGTGTTTTGCTGAGCAATCTCAAGACCAGAGTGGATAAAAATCAATGATTTTTTTTAAAAAAAATCAAAAAAATCAGATTTTTTTTATTTAAATCGGATTTTTTTTATTTTTATCGAATTTATTTTAATAAAAAACTTTTGGGGTAAAATCTATCGTAAGATAGTTTTCTATTTAAGATACATAAATAATGTAGTTTATTCAGCATGAAATGGAGCTTAGTTATGTAGCATGAGGCTGTATATTCTGCAACACAGGGACTATTGGTGAGTCAACAGTGGGTCAAAGGAGTAGCAGAGATGACAGTTGCTCTTTAAAAATTATGATTTAAACGAGTTGATTTAAATCAAGGCTTTTTACTAGTGATTTAAATCATGATTTAAATTGTGATTTAAATCAACTCGATTTAAATCAAATCCACCCTGCTCAAGATTTCCAACAGTTCCAATAAATAAATACTAACTGAGGATTCTGAAATTTTGAGAACATTACAAAGTTACAAATCTAAAATAAAATATCCCCTTTTTACTAGTAAATGTAATTTATCTACGAACGAGGATGGAGTGGAATTTCAATTTTTTTTTGCCTGAAATATTTACTTTTGTTATTCTTTTTTTACTTTTGAACTCTCCCAACAGATAGCAAATTCCATCTTGCTGATAGTAGGTCACTGCCTAAAATTTCATCATGTCTCTTGTTAAACATAGCATAACCTTTAATCTGTGATTGGCTATTACTGATACACAACTGTTTATGGAATTTTCCCAGGATTATAATACAGAATAAACATGTTTGAGCCCAATCAAACTGACTTAACTCCTACAAATTTTATTTAAATATTTAAGCATTAAATTTGTTAGCTGAAACTATTCTTCATTGAATTTAAGAGTTTCTCTTTTTTTTTTTTTCCCCTTTACTTGATCCTTGAATTCTCATCTGTTAATTCCATCCTTGGTTTATTTGGTTTGGTAATCTACAAATGTTTGTAGTGATTTCATATTGTACTTTACTGCAATGAAAAAGATTGGAATTCAATACCTTTTTTTTTCTTCCCCATTATCCTACACCAGTGATGGCTAATCTTTTCTGGAGCAAGTGCCCCAGCACATGACCTTATGCCCCTCCTGCATGCGCCCCCCCTGCATGCACCTGTGGCCATCACACACACACACACCGCATGTGCATGCAGCTCCCCGCACGCCCCACGCATGTGCACTCGCCCTTCCGCTCGCGCCCTGCGTATGCGCGCCAGAAACCTGACCACCAGCTGGCCGGCAGGAGGTGCGCGTGTATGCGTGGTGGAGCTGAACTAGGGCGACGGCTCGCATGTCCACAGAGAGGGCACTGCATGCCACCTGTGGCATACATGCCATAGGTTCACCATCACGGTCCTACACCTTTCTTTTCCTTTTCTTTCCATCCCCTGCTTCCCTACTACCTTTATTTTATTTTCATTTTATAGTATGATAATCTCAATAAAATGTATAGGGGGAAAAAATAGGATAGGGAAGGAGGTTTTCAGAATTTTGTCTGAGATGGCTTGTAACTGACCAATGTTGCCACCAGATGGTCTTCGTTGGGACCTGTAGGTTTCTGCATAGGTCATCTTCTGTTCTTATCTCTTCTAACTTATTACCTGTATACTGTAGTAATAAAATATTCCTGGTATCAGTGTCTGTGGAGATTCTCCATCATCCAAGTCATGGTTGAGCCAGAGTTGCTTTTCCAAAGGCAACTGGGCTTTCTTCTTATTTACCTTGAGAAAGTTTCGCTTCTCATTCAAAGAGCTTCTTCATTTAGGAATGAAAGAAGCTGCTTGGATGAGAAGCGAAACATTTTCAAGGGAAAAAACCCCAAGAAAGTCCAATTGTCTTTTGGAAAAGCACCTTTGGGTCTAAGGGATCAATTGTCAACCGTTCCACTCAGTCATCTAGCAAAGAAAGACTCCTGCCCATTATACTTCTGGAGTATACTTTACCGAAGCTTAAACAGTTACAGAAGTACCGTAAGCTGGCTCTGAGGTTTTCCCGTGTAAACAACACAAAGGAAAGTTCCCAGTGTTGCTCTCTTCATCTTTTTCGGCTGCATTTATTTAATGACTATAAGCCAGGGGTGTCAGATCGGGCCCCGGGGTGCTTAGATCTGGCCCACAGGGCCACCCTAGAAACAGCAAAGGACCAGCCCGCGTTGCCTCTGCCAGTGAAAATGGAGGTCTGGTGGCCCTCCCGGCCTCCGTTTTTGCAGCCAGAGGGTTGCAGGAGGTCGTCGCAGCCAAAAAGGGAGCTTAGGAGCCTGTTTTCATTGGCAGAGCGCTCGGGCCAGCAAAGGCGCCCCTGACACGAGTGATATTGAGCTGATAATGCCCCCCCCCCGAGGTCAAACACAACCCTGATCCGGCCCTCAATGAAATCAAGTTTGACACCCCTGCTATATGCAGTTTTAAGAAAGGCCTACTAGAAATCCTTAAATGTTTTTGTATTTGTATGCAATTGTGTAGCGCGAACCTAAAAAAATACCATTATTTCTGGAAATCTTCCCCCCCCCCCATTTTTTTACTTTTTATATTTTATAAACGCTGTTTACAAAAGTGGAATGAAAAAAAAATGTGTTTCCGATGTCCAAAAGTTCAGGACATTTTGCTTGAAATAATGATTATGATTCAAATTACCTTTAGAGGACTTCTATCTTAGTGCTTTTCATTGGAAATATAAGCTTCATATTTAACTCTTGAAACTGGAGATTAAGTGATCAATTTCCTCATTATGGTTGGATGATGCTGTAATTTTCTGCAACTGGATTAAGTATAAAAAATATGCATGGCCATCCCATGGAGGTTTCTGAGGACATGGTGACCTCTAATGGTTAGATAAGCATCAACATTCAACATTTTTGCCTATATCGGGAAAGCGATTAGTATATGCTACTGAACTCCTATTTTAGAAGACAACTGGAGATCGTTATTAAAATGCTTAATCGGCTTTTTGTATGTTTTTCAATTCTTTCCAATAGAACAAAACCTCTGAGATTTCTACCAGAGATGTTGGATTCCTGACTCCCAAACTCTACCAGAGTATATTTTGCCATAATAGTCAAAAATTGCTGATGCAAGAAATCAACTTTTTACGCTTGGTAACGTAACACAAAGCTTGAAGGTTCCAGTAAGGTGAAAAATGGTCTACCTCATTTCAACAGAGAAAATTGGGAGATTTTCATCTTTGACTTTTTCATTTCATGGTATTGAACCACACTGGATATTTTACCATTTTTAAAAACAACAATGTTTCAGTGTATACATCGTGTCCCCTTTTTCTTTGTCTATATTGATGGAAGTCAATGGTTTAGGAGGAGCTTTTGACAGTAAATTAAAGAATAAAAAGGTAGAATGACCATTGTATTCTCTAAGAGTTTCAAAATATAAAGTACAAAATAAAATTAATTTTGAAATACAGAGAATATAAACTCCAAGAGCACTATAAATTCAATGTTTTTAATCCATTGATGAAATCCATTTTGAGTATTTTTATGAATATTTATTATTGTGCATTTCCCCAAAATTCCATGGATGGAATTTGTTTCTTGAATATTTTATGACAGGTTAGCACCACAATCCTTGAATGAATTGTTTGAGAATCTATGAATGAGTAAAGATGATGTTTTAGGCACTATTTATAAAATGAACTGTTGTGTACATCACAACATACATTTTCCCCATAATCCAAATCCTGCAAGGAAAACAAAATGTCCAGAAGACCTCAAATTCACATGTTCTTTGGTGCACCCATTCTTTCAACTGCTCCAAGCAACCCCAAAGAAGAGAATGGTTCTTCGGCTAATGAGAAACCATGGAGAGAATTACACCTTTCATTTACCAATGACACTTTTAACCTTTGTAGCACAAACTTCAGGCCTCTTGACTATGAGACCGCAAATGATGCAGTTTTGGTTGTCAATTCCAAAGATCACTTCCCAGTAAACTTTGAAAAAAGAGGTGGCTCGGTTGATGTCTTTATGACCGATTGTGCAACATCTGTTGGATGTGTCAAATCCTTCAGCCATAAAAAGGAGGTCCTGGGTGAGTCACCTGAAGATGGTTCTTCTGTCTGCAGCGATATAAGCAGAGGGAACCAGAAAAAGCACCATGAATGTCAACAAAGCAAAAAGAATTATACCAAAGGAAATGCTGGTTGTATCATAGATAACCATCTTGATTCTTCTCCTTTGGTTTTTGAGATGAAGGACTTTAAAAATTGTGTGGTAGTTAATCACAACCCAACTTATCTTAAGTCTCAACCTCAGGGTGAAAATCTACTCCTGAGTCAGTATCTGAAAACATGTTCACAAAAAGCAGATGAATTGAAACCCGGCAACCTGCTAGATGCACCTTCAAATCTTGTTCTATCAACAGACAATGAATTCCTTAGTATTCTGACTTTAAGCCAAGTAGCTCTCTGCTCAGGACAATATGCCGTAGGACAGAATGAAATGCAAAATAAACCTGTAGCAGGTGAAGGAGTAGAATTGGCCCTGCCTTGTAGGGAAGACACAGCAGATGGAGAACCTCTACTTAAATCAAATGAAGATGGTGATACAGCTGCTAAGAAAGTTGACACAAACTGTGAAGCCAACTTTGAGTCTTCCATTCAACTCTTTGACTCCGATAACTCAAGTCAAGATAACTCAGATTTCAAAAAACGTAGTCTTCTTTCTTCACCTGTTAAAACTGAAGGACGGGACCTTAAACCCCAACGGAAAAGACAGCTACATTCTCCAGAAGAGCACCATGCTGAAAGATCTCAAGCAACTGATGATAATGTGATGACTTCTCGCTTTACTTTTGGAGATCAGCAGCTATCCAAAAGAATCAAATTAGCGTGTTCTCCTCTTCGTCCGGTTAAAAAAACTGGAAAAACCAGGATCCCAGGAATTGAGAAAGCTCAGAAGCCACTATCATTGCTTAAGGATTGTGTTGAGAAAAGCCAAAAGTTCTCCATCTTGGTGGTGGTGCTACATCCTTGTCATATCAAAGAAATCAAGGTGGGAAGTACCGCATCCTGCAAAGTCCCCTTAGCCACAGTAGTCGTTGCCGATCAGTCAGAAGTGAGACAGAAGGTTGTGTTGTGGAGAACAGCAGCATTTTTATCACTTACCATCTTCCCTGGAGACATTGTACTCTTCACAGGTGAGTCCGTATTTTTTGGAGTATAAGAGGCACCGGAGTATAAGACTCACCTTAGTTTTTGGGGAGGAAAATTAAAAAAAAGCTGATTGGCAGGTGGATGGGCCTACCAGAATACCCTCAATCAACTGTTCCCGGAGGTGAATTTTAGCAACAGGTTCCTTAGATTTGAGCTCTGTGCCTTGCTTTTTTTTTTCTTTTTTTTTTTGGTTGATCTTTTTTTCGGTGACTGAAACTTCTGAAACCCTGTTTCAGAAAAAAAATATATTTCTGCCTCTGAAAGCCTCCGAAACAGAGCTTCAGAAAAAAAGCCTTCTGAAGCTCTGTTTGGGGCTTCTTTTCTGAAGCTCTGTTTGAAGGCTTTTTTTCTGAAGCTCTGTTTGGGGCTTTATTCTGAAACCCGTTTGGAGGCTTTTTTCTCGCTCTGTTTCTGAGGCTTCTTTTCTGAAGCTCCGTTTGGGGGCTTTATTCTGAAGCCCTGTTTGAGGGCTTTTTTTTTCTCAAGCTCTGTTTCTGAGGCTTCTTTTCTGAAGCTCTGTTTGGGGGCTTCTTTTCTGAAGCTCTGTTTGAAGGCTTTTTTTCTGAAGCTCTGTTTGGGGGCTTTATTCTGAAGCCCTGCTTGGAGGCTTTTTTTCTCAAGCTCTGTTTCTGAGGCTTCTTTTCTGAAGCTCCGTTTGGGGACTTCGTTTCTGAAGCTTCATTTCTGATGCTTTTTTCAGCCTTTGAAACCTCCATCTGAGAAGCTGGGTGGGACTACATTCGGAGTATAAGACACACCCAGATTTTCACCCTCTTTTTTTGGGGGGAAAAAGGTGCGTTTTATACTCCGAAAAATACAGTACATTTTCAACTGTAAGAGGGATATTTATATATGCTTAGTTTTCACAATTATTATGCTGTTCAAACAAAACCTAAGCCATAATCTTCCATAAACTCTAAACATGACCTGGAAACTCTTCCGTAAGTGCAGATTTTTTTTTTTTAAAAAAGTGCAAAATAAAAATATTCCGATAACTGCATGGACAACGGGGAACAAAACGAGTTACACACCCCAAAACCAAATGGCACCAAGGCAAGTTCATTTTCCATTGATGGATCTCCTCTGTCTTTTTCTTGCAGATGTCGTCGTTTGTGAGAACCGCTGGGTTGGAGAAATGATGCTGCAATCAACTTTTATGACCAAGCTGGTCAATCTTGGAAGCTGTTCAGCTATTAATCCGAAGGAAGGTGAGGATTGACAAATTCCAGGCAGAGAAATCTTATTTCGTCACTAACTGATACTCCCTTCCTTCATCAAGCCATTAACTTCTTGCAGCTTTTATTAATAGAAATATATTTTTCCAAGTCAATTAAACAAATGACAGACAGAATGTAGAAGTTAGAATAAAATAGAGCTGGAAGGGACCTTGGAGGTCTTCTAGTCCAGCCCCCTGTTCAAGCAGGAGAACCTATACTATTTCAGGTAAGTAACTGTCTGGTTTCTTCTTAAAAGCCTCCAGTAATGGAGCACCCACAATTTCTGAAGACAAGCTGTTCCATTGGTTAATTGTCCTCACTGTTAGGAAGTTTCTCCTTAAATTCTAGGTTGCTTCTCTCCTTTGATTAGTTTCCTTCAATTACTTCTTCTGCCTTCTGGTGCTTTGGAAAATAAGATGACCCCCACTTCTTTGTGGCAGCCCCTCAAATACTGAAATACTGCTATCATGTCACCCCTAATTCTAATTCTAGCCAGACCCAAAACCTGTAGCTGTTCTTCATATGGTTTATTCGTTTAGTGACTGCTCTAAGTTCCAACAGCACAGAAAAAAGTAACTTACAACCATTTTTCACACTTATGACCATAGCAGCATCCCCCTCGTCACGTGATCAAAATTCAGGCACTTGGCAGCCAGTTCATATTTATGTACTCGGGTCCCTTCAAATTCTGTAATAACGAGAGCTTTCCCGATCAAAATTACAAACTAAAAGATTAGAAAAGACAGATAGAATGGATAAGACTTTGAAGTCTAGTTCTTCAAGGATTCAGAGGAAGCCCTAAGATGACATTTACAGTATATCCAGTTCAGAGCAGGACAATTCGTAACGTCTCTGACCTCCAGGTCTTTCGCTGTGCCCTCAAGACGCTACTGTTCCGACAGGCGGGGCTGTCTAACTGAATGATTTTAAACTGGGTTTTAATATTGGGTTTTAAAATTTGGCCAAAATTGTTTATTTATTTATTATTAATTTAATTTGTATACCGCCCTTCTCCCAGAAGGGACTCAGGGCGGTGAACAGCCAAAATTAAAAAACATACAAATGCAAAAGTTAAGATAATTAAAAGAATTAAATCACTGGCTACCCAATTTAAAACCCCAAATCCATAAAATTTAAAATCCCAATTAAAAACCATTTAGGCTAGGCCAGCTTGATGAAATAAAAACGTCTTCAGGGCTTTACGGAAGGTCCGGAGGTCTGGGATCAATCGTATTCCAGGAGGCAGCTCATTCCACAGGGCGGGTGCCCCCACAGAGAAGGTTCGCCCCCTGGGGGCCGCCAGCCGACATTGCCTGACCGACGGCACCCCGAGGAGGCCCTCTCTGTGAGAGCGTATTGGCCGGTGGGAGGTTATCGGTAGCAGCAGGCGGTCTCGCAAATACCCTGGCCCTAAGCCATGGAGCGCTTTAAAGATGAGAACCAACACCTTAAAGCGCACCTGGAAGACCACCAGGAGCCAATGCAGCTCGCGCAGGAGAGGTGTTACGTGGGAGCGCCACGTCGCTCCCATAATCACCCGCGCGGCCACATTCTGCACCAGTTGGAGCCTCCGGGTGCTCCTCAGGGGGAGCCCCATGTAGAGAGCGTTACAGTTACAGTTAATGATTTTAATTAATTTTAATTATGATATTGTATATTTATGTTTTTAATCTTGGCTGTACACCGCCCCAAGTCCTTCGGGAGAAGGGCGGTATATAAATATTATTATTATTATTATTACTTATTATTATTATTACTTATTATTATTATTACTTATTATTATTATTATTATTATTATTATTAAATTAATTAATGGAATGCAATTGTCCCTCCCTATTGAAAGGACTAAAGGATTACACTCTCTTTTAATGGCAGAATCAAACTCCATGATGGAAATCTGAATGTCCACTTCTACTGTCGATAGTAAGCAAGGGAAGTCCACAGAAATTTCAGAATAACGGAACCTTGGAGATTTCCCCTGCTAAAGCAGGAAATGGATGATATTCCCTTGGTGTTCATATTGCTTAAAATAATACCGTGTTTCCCCGAAAATAAGACCCTGTCTTATATTTTTTTGAACCCCGAAATAAGCACTTGGCCTTATTTTCGAGGTCTTATTATTTGAGGCACATGGAGGAAGATGGGGCTCCCTAATCCTAACCCTAACCAGAGAAATTTATTTTATTTTATTTATTTTATATCAAATTTATATACCGCCCTTCTCCCTGAGGACTCAGGGCGGTGTACAGCCAAAGTAAAAACATAAACTACAAACATTAAAATACAATTAAAAAGATATATATATATTTGGCCCCATAATTAAAAGCAATGACAAAACAATTAAAAACATTTTAAAAAGTGTTAGGCCAGCCCGGCTTGCTGAAAAAAGAAAGTTTTAAGGGCACGGCAGAAGGCACCGAGGTCTTGGATTCTGCTTATCTTTGGGGGCAGCTGGTTCCAGAGGGTAGGTGCCCCCACAGAGAAGGCCCTCCCCCTGGGGGTCACTAGCCTACATTGTTTGGCTGATGGCACCCCGAGGCTTATTTTCAGGGGAGGGTTTATTTTCAGGGAAGGGTTTATTTTAGGGGGAGGGCTAATTATCCGGGGAGGTCTTATTTTTGGGAAAACACGGTATCTGTTATCCCTGTTTAATAAAATCGTATCAGGGACATAAAGCTAATTCCACTTGCTGGTAAATATTTGGTGGTAGAACCGCCAACAGAAGAAATATACGCAACCTCCATAGCCAAAGGTGAGATCAATTATCATCTCTTTTATTTTCCCAAGCCTCCCATATAGTAGACAGTCATCTTCTCCAGGATTTGCTGACCTACGTTTCTGCAAAGCACGGCCCTCTCCAAGCTCTCCCTCCAAGGCAAAGGCAGAGCCTGGACAACGTTTCGTGCGTCCTTCTCAATCGGCTCAAACCAGATACTTTGGTGCATGCAGTGCTGAGAATCATCAACATCACAGTGCTGATAGGTGAGCTTGAGTATCTAATCCAAGAACTTCTTGAAGGCCCCAAATTTGGTGTATGGCATGGCGGTGGAAAGGTATATTTAGAGATGTAATTGCTGAAAACTATAGATTTTGTATGTCTATGGAGATTCTCCGTCATCCAGGTCATGGTTGTCCCAAAGGTGCTTTTTCAAGAGGCAACTCGACTTTCTGTTTTTTCTTTGAAGACGTTTCACTTCTCAGCCAAGAAGCTTCGTAGATTCTGTAATTCCCTTTTTCCCGCTTGTCTTCTCTGAGAAAAACGCCAACCAAGCACTTGGGTCCAGCTCTTTGTGAGGGACATTATCCTGTCTTCCTATTAAGCGTGCAAATATCCTTTCCAGATCTACCTCAGGGAGAAAAAAAAAAGGAGTAATAGCAGAGTACCCTCTATCTGAAATCTTGTTGATAAGAAGAAGGTCATGAGTTGATTTGAGACCACCTGATGTTTCCTTCTTGACAAAACAAGAAGCTTAGCTTCTTGAGTGGTTGTCTTGATTTCACAACATCCTTTTCTGAGGATTGATGTGATACGAGTGACATGAAGTAGCTTGTGCCTAGCATCCGCCTTTATTAACATTAATAATTAACTTCCTAGATAACGAGAAAGCTTTGTTTTTATGAAATCAGAGGGTGTCAAGAATTATTGATTATTTTTGGGACCTTTTCATAGTAGATGAAATAGCCTATTTCCCTCATCAGATAGAATAGTGGCATGGAAACAGGACTATCTCAATCCTCCACATCCAAAAATATGTGTGTATTTTTTCTTATCTTGAGAAAAAAGAGCCATAAAAAAAATTTAAACATTGCGTAGCCCCAAAACGGCACCATAATGTTTGCTATGGTGCAAAGATCCAGAGGGGGAATTTCCAAGGGGATGCCCTACAGATAGTCCTCGACTTATAACCTTTCATTTAGTGACCATTGGAAGGTACAACATCATTGGAAACATCGCCCACCCTTCAGTCAGAGCTGAAGATGATTCTTGGATGAGAAGTGAAACGTCTTCTTGTGGGAGCTTCATCACTGGAGGCTTTCAAGGGGAGATTGGACTGCCATTTATCGAGGATGTTGTAGGGTCTCCTGCTTCAGCAGGGGGTTGGACTAGATGACCTACAAGGTCCCTTCCAACTTTGTTAATCTATCTATCTATCTCTTGCTCTCCATATTAACTTAAGTAACCTTCTTACTTCTCAGTCCTAAATGGAGAGCCTCAGGATACTGCAGGGTTTCTGCCACTCCTAGTTACCCATTAAATAGACTGAAAGCCTAATTATAAACATTCACTGGAATCCTGGTTTTTGAAATTTGGTGGTTTTAAAAATGTAACATCTGGAATCTGTTAATGAATTTGAAGGAAGTATAGCTACCTCTTCCCTCTGCCTGTTAAAGAAATCCAAAACACCACCATCAAAAGCCTTGAAACTCATTCCTTCAAATATCAGGTAGAAATCTTTTTTTTTTTAAACATAAAGTGAGTTATGAGAGCATTTCTTCATTTAATATGAAGTTTTGGGGTGTAAGGGAAGGGGTTAGTTCTTCATGCTGTTGTACTCTGAATAAAATTACAGTGGTATTTTGATATTCAACCGCTTCAAAACTCATTGAATTTGATACTCGACACGTTTTGATGCTGAAATGTTGTCCTGGTACTCGTAGTTTCTTTGGTACCTGGCATGCTGCAGAAGGTGGATGGGAAGTAGGAAGTAGGATATAGGAAAAAGGGCAGAAAGTTTTTACCAGCCAAAACAAAGGGTCCTGTGGTAAGTCACTTGGCTTGCTTGGCACTCATAGTTTTTAGTACCCCTTGTGCCTCCCAGAACCAATTTACGTTGAGTACTGAGGTACCACTGTGTAGTCAAACCAAGATTGGCCAGTCTTTACCAGGAATGGGGGGGGGGGGGGTGACATCATCACAGAAGGAAGCAAACTATGTTTATTGTTTCCCTTGTTCAACCTTAGAATCCGTGTATAGTTTTAAAGAAGAAAAGCAAAGTAAAATCGTCTTAACGGTGGAACAAATCAGGGGCCAGCCTTATGCCTTGGTTGTTTGGGGTGATGCAGCAGCCCAGTGTCTTCAGCTTCAAAGGAAAAAAGGTAAAACAACCATTCAATATTTAAAAATAATTTTAGGTACATGACTATATCACACTGCCTTGCAAGAAACAAGTAATACAGGACGATCCTCTTTTGTTTTAAAATAAATCAGCTTTTCAACAACGGACTGTTGAAAAGGAGGACAGAAGCAGGAGCCCCAGATGGTGAAAAGTTCATTCATGTTAAAACAACTCCCAGAATTTTAAGCAATGACTCAAATGGCTGGGATTTTATTTCAGTTATTATTACTTAGTTCTGTTGTTTCATAAGCTTTATTACCCTGTTTTCCCGAAAATAAGACATCCCCTGATAATAAGCCCAGTCGGGCTTTTGAGCAGAGGCACTAAAATAAGCCTTCCCCGAAAATAAGACCTCCCTGAAAATATTTAATTTCCAGCAGAGCTGGAAATCAGGTAAGATGGCAAGAGGAGCCCCAAAATAATAAGACCTCCCCGAAAATAAGTCCAAGCGCTTATTTCAGGGTTCAAAAAACAAAATAAGACAGGGTCTTATTTTTGGGGAAACATGATATATAGCCACCCACTCCAACAGATTCTGTATTCTTAGGTTCACACATGTAGAACAAGATTGAGATACATTGGCCTAGGCCAGGAGTCTCCAAACATGGCAACTTTAAGACTTGTGGACTTCAAGTCCCAGAATTCCCCAGACAGCATAAGGAATTCTGGGAGTTGAGGACCACAAGTTGTCAAGTTTGGAGATCCCTGGTCTAGGCCCTTAACTAGGAGCGGGAGCCATAATATTGCTTCTTCCACTGCTTTGGTTATTCCCCACAAAAAAGAGATTTCCTCAAGCTGTGTAGAAACTGTATATACTCAAAATATAATTCAATTACTATTTTCACAAATAGTAAAATACGAGTTACGACAGGTAATCCTCAACTTACAATTCGTTTAGTGAATGGCACTGAAAAAAATGCCTTATGACCATTTTTCACATTTACGACCGTTTGCAGCATCCCCGCAGTCATGCGATCAAAATTTAGATTCTTAGCAACTGTCTCACATTTATGACGGTTGCAGTGTCCACGGGGGTCATGTGATCCCCTTTTGTGACCTCCTGACAAGAAAAGCCAGTGGGGGAAGCCAACTTCACTTAAAAACCATGTTATTAACTGCGGTGAGTCACTTAACAACCGTAGCAAGAAAGGTCATAAAATGGGGCAGAACTCACTTAACAGATCTTTCACTTAGCAACAGAAATTTTCGAGTTCAGTTGTGATCATAAGTTGAGGACTACCTGCATTTTAAGATGGGGTAAGATTTTGAGCCAATTGGTGCACTGATTAAGGCCCCAGACTGGGAACCAGGAGATGGTGAGTTCTAGTCCTGCCTTAGGCACAAAGCCACTTGGGTTTCCTTGGGCCAGATACTTTTCCTCAGCCCTAGGAAGGAGGCAATGGCAAACCACTTTTGAAAAATCTTGCTAAGAAAACTACAGGGGCTCGTTCAGGCAGTCTCCAAGTGTCAGGCCCGATTGAACGGAAAGGAGAAGAAAAAAAGAATTTTGAAGTTGGCATCTCCTTTATTAACAGTTATTTTATTTTGGAAAGAGCTGTATTTTTGTCCAAAGCTTCACTGATATTAATGCTTTCAAAACTTCTCCTTCCTAGATCATATTTGGGAATTTAAATATCTCTTTGTAAAACACAATCCTGTCTCTGGTGACTTGGAATTGCACACGACACCTTGGTCGGTCCTCGAGTGCCTTTTCGATGATGATAAAAGAGCTCTGGCCTTCAAAGAGAAGTTTGAAAGGAAGGTCCAAGAGTTGATGAAGATGACCACTCTGGCTTCACATCTGGAAGAAAAATGTTCGGGTGAGATTCCTCCTCCAGGATTAAGACATCCTGTGTTGTAATATAACTCTTGAATACTTTATTTGGCTCAGTGTGATTAGACACGGGACGAAATTTGCCTCCTTTTCACAACCGAAGAGTTTGAGGCAAAGCATTGTATCTCAAAACCAGGCTCAAAACTCCTTGAGAAAGTTTATAACTGACAGGCAGAATGGGATATTTAGACACGGACCCTTGGCTGCACCTCCTTCGTCCCCCAGCCACCCGCCTCAGCCCATTTACAGCCAGCTTTCCTCCTCTGCTGGGCCTCCCACGGCCAATGGGACAATGGCCCTCCGCCCCTTGCCCTTCATTTCTGCCCATTTGCCCAAACACAGTGTTCTGTCCCCGTCTCACACACGCACACAAACAGTCAGCCAGGAGTTAAATAAAACTTGCCGACAATAAATTCCTTCGATAACAGGATTGGCAGCAACCCAGTAGCTGCTTGCCAAGAACTTTACTCACAGAGGGAGGTGTTCCTCCTCTGTCAGATAAACCAAAACAAATACACAAAGCCACAAAATTGTCATTAAATCCAAGGCAGGCAGATAACATAGTTTCAGAGATACAATGTGACTCGCTAATTGTTTAGTTTTGTCCGTCACGGAGCCTGAATGGCCACCACACCCCCTTTTATCCCCTGTGGGGTGTGGTCCAGTGACTCAGCTTAATCTCTGGCACTCCTCCTTTTCTGCTGCGTGCGCTTGTCTCTCCGACGCTGGCGGAGACTTATCTCCGTCACTGTCCGACTGCGACTGTTCGGAGATACCTGGCTCCTGGCCAATCTCTTCTCCTTCGGGAGACACCTGAGGCATTGCCAGAGAGGAGGGTCCTGGAGAGGGAGGCCTGGCCAACTCCTCTCCTTCACCTTCGGAGTCTTCTCCCTCCGATAAGACGGGCTCGGGAGTCGGAATCACAACACACAGTTTGACCTGTGCCTTTGGCTGCACGGGATAAATAGCGCCCAACCCACTGCTGCCCCCTCCCAGCCCCCCAACCGCAACACCAGAAGCCGTGCTGGCCTTGTTCCTCCTACCCTTTTTCATTAGAGCTGAGTGAGTTGCGAGCCAAGCTGTCTTTGTGAAGCCCCCTTGAGGCGCTCCTTCCTGGTGTCCCCCCAAACACACTCTTGCTTATCTGCCACCCCAGTGGCCCCAGCGGCTGCTACTCCCCCTCCCTCCAGTCCAGGTGACAGATCTGGAAGTGTTTTAAAAAATCTTGCATCGCACACTGCCCCTGCAGCACCATTGCTTCTGCCTGCCACCTGATTGGCTGGGGGCTATTTGTTCCATGCAGCCAAAGGCTGTCGAGAATGGCCTGGGGAGGCCCAGCAGTAAACGAGCTGAGGCAAGTGGCTGGGGGCGAAGGAGGCATGGCCAAGGATCCGGCCGGTACGCTCTCATAGAGAGGGGCTCCTCTGGGTGCCGTCGGCCAAACAATGTCGACTGGCGGCCCCCAGGGGGGGAGCCTTCTCTGTGGGGGCACCTACTATCTGGAATGAGCTCCCCCCCGGAGATACAGAGGATCCCGGATCTGGGCACCTTCCGCCACGCTCTCAAGACTTTTTTATTCCACCAAGCCGGCCTGGCCTAAATTATTCCCCTTTAAAATGTAAATTTTAATTTGTTTTTAAAATTATTGGGTGTTCTTAATTTGTCTCGGCCAAATTGTTTAATTCGGTTTTATTCTGTTTTTAAATTTTTTATTTATGTGTTTTATTTTGTGGCTATTCACCGCCCTGAGTCCTTCGGGAGTAGGGCGGTATACAAATCCAATAAAAGATAAAGATAAAAGATGTCTAAATGTCCTAAACCCATGAATGCGAGCCTATGACATGCATGCTACAGCTGGCACGCAGAGCCCTCTCTGCGGGCACGTGAGCTGTCGGCCAGCTCAGCTCCACCACGCATCTGCGCGCACGCCTCCCGCCGGCCAACTGATTATTGGGATGGGCAGGGTGCATGCGGGAGATGCACACGCATGTGTGGGGGGCAGGGGTTGCCCGCGCTTGCATTGGGGACGGAGCATGGGTAGTGCGACGTGCCCCCCCCCGCCCTTTTTTGGGCCCAGGAGGCTGCAGGGAGGCCTGCTAGGCTAAAAACGGGCGGTATGGGGGGCGGGTCGCATGCATGGGGGAGCGTGGGGGTCACGTGTGCATGGGGGGGGGGGGCGTGGGGGTCACGTGGGCATGTGCGGGGGGGAGTTTGGGGAGGGGGTCATGTGCATATGCGCACCAGGGGATAGCCCTCACTGTCCTAAACCCACTGAGAGGGAACTGCATGGACATGATGGCTCGTCAAATACATCACTCTCTGTGCTCTGATTTGACACAGCAATGGTATGATCAAGAATTAACTCTTACACGTGTGAGCATAAGTTTAGGATGGTTTTCCTCTGGGTCTGTATGGACACCGTTGATCTTAAACCTCGCTGTACTACAAATCACATCAGTCCAGATAGCATTTATTTTTAGTTACAGGTAGTCCTCGGCTTATGCCAGGCGGTTTTGCGACTTACAACCCGATCTGAATTTCTTTTTTCTTTTTTTCCTTTTTTTTGACAAGTTTTATTGGTTTTTCCCCCCCAACACACACCCACATATTTTTTGAAATAGAGTATTGACCATATCGTATCATATCATATATAATTCATCATATCCAAATATATTTTACTTTGTTACAGTTTCTGCCAAAGTGTTCTTTTTCCATATTTGTTAATCAAATCTTAATTTTTCTATTCTTATTTTTCTAAACAGTATCTTCTTTCACCATTTTTTCTATATTTCAATATTTTTTCTATTCTTAATTATATACATTCTCTTTAATTTTATTTTTTATTAATTCAATCTTTTTCTTAATATATTTAAACGTGTTTGGGGATTGTTTTACAGCAATCTTTCTTCTCTGTCTTCCTCTCCCTCCCTTCTTTTATCCTTCCTCCCTTCTTCTTCCTTCCTCTCCTATTCCTTCTCTACTTCCCCTTCCTTTCTCCCCCTCCTCCTTTCCTCCCCCCAACTAATCTTCCCTCCTACTCTTATTCCCCTTTCCTTTCTTCCTCTCCTCTTCCCTTTCTTCTGTTTCTCTCTCTCCTTCTCCCTTCCTTCAATCTCCCTACTCTTTCTTCTATCTCTATTGCTGTATTCATTTTCAATTCAGTGCTTTTTTTCTATAGTGTCCAGGCATCCCCGATCTGAATTTCTAATGGTCTCTGTCTCTGTCTCTGTCTCTGTCTCTGTCTCTGTCTCTGTCTCTGTCTCTGTCTCTGTCTCTGTCTCTCCCTCCCTCCCTCCCTCCCTCCCTCCCTCTCTCTCTCTCTCTCTCTCACACACACACACACACACATACACACACACAGTCCCACATAACTGCAATTTGGACTCTTGGCAATAGGGCAGCATTTAAGGCTACATGCGGTGTCCCACAATCACAAGATTGCATTTTGTGATGGTTTTGCTGAAAACTGGCAATTACTTCCGGTTTTCAGCAAAATGGCACCTTGTGGTTCGCCTTACGACCGCCACATGCATTTCACGGCTGCCACAAAAAAGATTGCAAAATCAAGTTGGTCACACGACTGTCCCATTTTACGACCTTCATGGGCAGGCTCCATTATGATCTTAACTCTAGGACTACCTGTACTATACTCTTGCCTCCATAAAAGGCATGTAATGCCTGTACCAATTCTTTTTTTTTTTTTAAATGTACAGGCAGTCCTTGACTTACAATAGCTTATTTAGCGACCATTAGTTACAACGGCACTGAAAAAAGCGACTTGTGACCATTTTTCATAGTTACGACATTTGTAGCATCCCCATGATCATGTGATCAAAATTCAGACGCTTGGCAACTGGTTCATTTTATGACCGTTGCTTGCGTCCCAAGGTCATGGGATCACTTTTTGCGACCTTCTGACAAGCAAAATCAACAGGGAAGCCAGATTCATTTAGCAACCGGATTATTAACTTATCAACTGCAATGATTCACTGAACAACTTGAGGCAAGAAAAGTCATAAAATGGGGCAAAACTCATTTAATGTCTCACTTAACAACAGAAGTTGTGGTCATGAGTTGAGGACTACCTGTATATATTTATTATAATAATAATAATAATAATAATAATAATAATAATAATAATAATAATAATAATAATAATAATAATAATAATAATAATAATAATTTTATTTCTATACCGCCCTTCTCCCAAAGGACTCAGGGCAGTGTACAGCCTATTTAAAAACACAAGACAAAACAGCGATTAAAATTTAAAATAATGAAATAGATTTGGCTCAAATTTAAAACCCCAGAAATTTAAATACCCCAATTTAAAACTATTATGTTGATAGCCCGGCCTGGCGGAACAACAGGGTCTTCAGTGCGCAGCGAAACACCCGGAGGTTGGAGATCTTACATATTTCCGGGGGCAGTTCATTCCACAGGGCTGGGGCTCCCACAGAGAAGGCCCTCCCCTTGGGTGTTGCCAGCCGACATAACTTGGCCGATGGCACCCGGAGGACGCTCTCTCTGTGGGAGCGGACTGGTCGGTGGGAGACTATTATGTTTTATCAATGGGAATAAAATACAAAACAGAAAAAAAAAACAGAAAAAAACCACACATCTAACAGTAACAACAACAAAAATTATGTACAAAAAAAAAATGATCCAAAATCCAACATTAAACATTAAAAAAAAACCCTATCCTGGCTGGATACTGCAAAGAAAAATAATTTTAAAAAACTGATAAATTCTCCTCCCCTTACATAAATAGTTATACACTTTCTCATCCTTATTTAACAAGAAAAATATATTATCTAAACAAATATTTCGTTCTTGTGGTTTTCCTAGGAATAATCCAAGTGAAGGCCTGCGTTTCAAAGCTGAGCTTTATGGATCCTTCCCTGTCACACGGACAGCTGGTCTTTGACGCTGATACTTCCCTGGAGCACATATTCGCTTCCCTTCCCCTGATCACCTATAAGGGTTGTGCAAAATGCGGCCGTGAACGACAGACAGATGACAACGAGATCTACAAACAGTGCCCTACCTGCTTACCTTTGAACCAAGTCAAAATCTTCTACAGGTAAATGGGGGAAAAAAAGGGTGGAAGTGTTCTGTCCCCGTCTCACACACGCACACAAACAGATAGCCAGGGGTTAAATAAAACTGGCAGACAACAAATTCTTTCGATAAGAGCAACCCAGTAGCTGCTTGCCAAGAACTTTACTCATAAAGGGAGGGGTTGTTCCTCTGTCAGATAAACCTAAACAAGATACACACAGTTCAAGAATTGTCAAGTCCAGTCCGTATTAAATCCAAGGCAGATAACGTTGTTTCAAAGATACAATGTGACTCGCTAGTAGTTAGTTTTGTCCGTCACAGAGTCTGAATGGCCACCTCACCCCCTTTGATCCCCTGTGGGGTGTGGTCCAGTGACTCAGCTTAATCTCTGGCACGCCTCCTTTTCTGCTGCGTGCGCTTGTCTCTCCGACGCTGGCGTGGATCCAGCCAAGACTTATCTCCGTCACTGTCCGACTGTGAGGAGATACCTGGCTCCTGGCCAATCTCTTCTCCTTCGGGAGACACCTGAGGCATTGCCAGAGAGGAGGGTCCTGGAGAGGGAGGCCTGGCCAACTCCTCTCCTTCATGTTCGGAGCCTTCTCCCTCCGATAAGTCGGCCTCGGGGGTCGGAGTCACAACAGGAAGATGAAAAACTAAAATCTGTAAAGTTGCTGGCAGCTTCCTGCTTATCGTTCGAACGTTCTCCGTAGTTGCATCGCGTATTATTTCAAGACAGTCTAGCAAAATAGCCCTACTTTGAAGACTGAGTAAATTACGTTCACTATCTGAAGGGTTGGAAGCCTATTCTATTGTTCCATTACTTTGCTACTGTTATGTTTAGTCCTTTTTACATTTCTCTGTTTTTTACTCGGTAGCCCCATGGCTAGATAGGCGGCATATAAATCAATGAATAAACTCTTCTCACAACTCTTCTCATTGTGTTAAGAGCAACTTCTGGTTGGCTGGCACCAAGTGGCAGCAAAGGACAATTTATGGAGGAAAAAGGACTTTCTTCCAGTTCATATAATAATAGAAATTGGAGGAATCAAATTTGTGGTCTCACTCTAAAAAGCGGATATGCGAAGACGCCCTCACCTTATTTTGATCCCAAAGTTTTTACAGATAGTCCTTGAGTTACAACACTTCGCTTAGTGACCGTTCAAGGTTACAGCGGCACTGAAATAGTGACTTCTGACCATTTTTTTCACATTTATGACCGTTGGGGCAGCATCCCCGTGGTCGTGTGATCAAAATTCAGATGCTGGACTCACAATTACGACGGTTGCAGTGTCCCCCTCGGGGTCACGGGAGCCCTTTTTGCGGCCTTCTGATGAGCAAAGTCGATGGGGGAAACCCGGATTCACTTACTAAGTGAGCAACTGTGCAGCGATTCCCTTAACAAAGGTGGCAAGAAAAGCCGTAGAATGGGGACAGAACTCAGCCAATTTCTCACTTAAGCAACCTAAGTTTCGGGCTCAGTTGTGGTTGTATGTTGATGATGATGTTTGTCCATCATGTTCGAAGAGGACCTTGACATCTAATGGGTTGTGGGTGGTCTACAGTGTGTCCACAGGTGGCTGGTAAGGCCTATATGGGCACGGAACGTTCTGCCACATGTCAGGCAGACGTGTGGGCACCATTGCTGCAGCATTTGCAGCTCTGACTTTGCGGAGTGCTCGCTACTCTTGTGCTATGTGTTGTGACCTAGGCCCAAGTAGTTATTACCAAACACAATCAGTCCTAAACAAACATATTTTATTAGAACAGCTGAGAATTACTTCATTCTCAGCTTAGTCCAAATTAAGTCCAAAACAAATTCTTCATAAACAGTCCTTCGGCCTTAGCACCAACCTTTGTCTTCTTTGGCACCCTGCCAAAGGTTTTTCTTGGCAAAAGTTCAGAAGCAAGAGACGCCAACAAGAAACAAACCGTTGCTGGTCTTTTAAGCCTTCTGGGAGGGGCCAATCATCTCCTGGCTTACTCCCAAGTCGTCCTTTTTGCTTTAGCTGCTCTTGCCTTCTGGCCTTCTTCGCATGCATGCACTAGGCACAGGCTCCTCCTGTTCCTTTGCCTCTCTGCTATCCGCCTCTGGAGTCCACACATTACTCCCAGATGGTCCTGGCCCCATCTCTGCCTCCGACGCAGAGCCCTCATCCGGGCCTTCCCCCAGACTCCAGGACTGGCCCATTGTCTTCCCCAGCCTCCTCGCTGTCCGACTCCGTTGCCAGCTCCTCAGGCTGCTGGCGGACCACAACTCTATGGTTGTTCTTCTGTCTTCAGATGTCTGGCAGCCTTGATGGATCAACGTGCATCATGTCGATCGATCTTGTGCTAGGGTTTCCCAGGTGTCGATATCCAGGGACTTGAAGGAGGCTTTCAGCGTGTCTTTGTATCGCTTCCTTTGCCCCCCATGCGATGGCTTTCCTTGAGACAGATTGTCACTGCGTTTTGATATTTACCAGATGAGCTCTTATTTTTGAACTTTCAGACTTACTGTAGCTTGCCAAGTTCTTATCTTTAAGCTAACTGCGCATGTCCACATTCCTTCACTTTCTTCAAACTTTTTCTTTGTTCTCCAGCCAAGAGAGGTGGCCGGGAAAGCTTTGCCAAGATGTAACTAATTAGATTAGTAAGATGTTTTATTTTCTTTATAACAAATAAATGAGTTTTTCTTAGAAAATATATCTTCGGGTTTATTTTCTTAAAGTATACTTCAAGGGAAGGTCACGATCCATTCTCTAATCAAGGTGCAATTACCCAAAAGCAGAATGGGATTAATTGCCACCCTGACACAGATCACCATAGAGGAGCTGTTTAGGGATGCGATGGGTCTGGCATCCTTGCAACATGGCCTGCCCAGCGTGTCTGTCTGGGCTTTCATCAGCAGGGTGTGAACCGATGGCAGGCCTGCTCTGGAGAGGACTTCTGCGTCTGGCGCCTTGTCCTGTCACCGGATCCTCAGAACTCTGTGGAGGCAGGTCATTTGGAAGTGGTTCAGTTGCCTAGCCTGCCTCCTGTATACAGTCCAAGGCTCACTGGCCTACATCAGGGTAGTTAGCACTACTGCTCGGTAGACTTTGAGCTTTATAGCAAGGCTTATTCCACGGTGGTCCCACACATTGGTCAGTAGTCCACCAAATGCAGAGCTTGCCTTGGCGATTCTGCAGTTGACCTCAATGTCAACTGTCACTGCGTGGGAGAGGGGGTGGCCAAGGTATGTAAATTGGTCCACTGCTTGCAGCTTCTGACCCTTCACTGTGACGGTGGGCTCTTGGTGTTGGGCTTTCGGAGCTGGCTGGTGCATCCCTTCGGTCTTCTTGGTGTTGATGAGGAGGCCAAAGTTGTTGTATGTTGCTGCAAATTTGTCCACGCTGGCTTGCATTTCCTGCTCTGATCCAGCGCTCAGGGCACAGTCGCCATCAATAAAAGGAGGCCTCGTAGCACAGTCTCTTTTATCTTGGCAACAGCTGGGTGGTTTTACGTCAGCATCCTGAGCAGAGGTTTGGATGACATAACTGGACGTCTGAATAACAGAAACACTCAACCACATTTTCAGCACCGTGCTGAGCGCCTTGGATTTCTGCTTCGAAAGACTTCATTCGTTTGTGGGTTTTAGATTCAGTTCTGTCACTCGGGCAGGTGGCTTAGGGTAGTGATGGCGAACCTATGGCGTGTGTGCCAGAGGTGGCACTCAGCGCCCTCTCTATGGGCACACGAGCCGTTGCCCCAGCTCAGCTCCGTCACGAACGCACGCACGCCTCCCGCTGGCCAGCTGGTCTTCAGGTCTCTGCCATGCATGAGCGGGGGGCAGGACACATGTGGGGGGCACACATGTTTGGGGGGCACTTACATGCATGAGGATGGTGCGCATGTGGGAAGGGCGCATGCACAGGGGCCGCACGCACATTGCATTTTGGGGGTGCATGCACGCGCTTTGGGCACTCAGTCCACAAAAGGTTAGCCATCACTGGCTTAGGGCCATTGTCTCTGCTCTTTTCTGTCTTCAGAAAAATAATTCCGAGGCTGTTTTCAGTGTGCTGGAGAGAAAAAAATGCCCAGTAGATTCTGTGACTCCATATTTCAGTCCTAGCCGTTTTTTCAAGGTGATTTTTGAGTGGAGGATCTCTCTCTTAAAATTTCCCTGCTTCTTCAGGGTTTCCAAAGTCAGAGGGGGTTGAACACAGGCGGTCCTCAACTTATGATCATAATTGAGCCCAATTGTTGCTGAGCGAAACAATTGTATTCTTCCGCTTTTTGACCTTCCTTGCCATGGGCATTGAGTGCAGTAGTGGGTTTCAATTTAGTTTGTTACCGGTTCGCTCGTGTTGTGCGTGTACGTTCGTGACACTTCTGCGCATGTGTAGAAGCTTCTGCACATGCGCAGAAGCATCCGGCCGGGTGGGCGGAACCTCCCTCTGCCGCCGCTACCGGTTCGCCCAATCCGGGCCGAACCGGTAGCAACCCACCACTGATTGAATGAATCGCTGCGGTTGTAAAGTTAGTAACACGTTTGTTAAGTGAGTCTGGCTTCCCCATTGACAGGTTAGAAAAAGGGATTGCGTGATCCGCACTCTGAGATAAACAATATGTATTGGAGACAATAGCATCCTCTTGTAGCAGGAAACATCAAACATTACATTGAAATTCCACTAAGGTTTCTCCCCTCCCTCTGTTTCTTCATTTAGACCTGCTGTGATGACCATTGAGGAAGGGGATTATGAAATCTCTGTTCGGGTGGGATCCGAATTGATGGAGAGGATGTTCCTTAACATTCCCGCAGAATGGCTGAAGAAGGCTGTAGGTAATACCTTGGGAATCTGTGTTGTAACGCTGGAGATTTTTTTGGTCTGTAATCCCTTAATTGCAAGTTCATGAAGCAATGAATAATCTTCTATGTATATAAAAGCCAAATACCACTCACTCATCACAAAATCTCCAGAATGGTAAAGCCTACAAACTTGAAATTTAGCACATATGTTTCTCTTGGCGTCTAGGTGCTCGTTAAGAAAGGATTTTTCAAAATGACCATCAGATCATTAGTATTTCATATACAGAATTATATTAACATGCTCTGATGCTAAGGAGTTAGATGTTTTATTCCCCCTCCCCACCTGAAAGGAACTCTGTTCCAACTGCCAGTTGCCTTATATTAACATGTTCTGATGCTACCCTTCGCTAAACTGGGCATGGGCGTGGCCAGTTTAGAGCTGAAGAAGCTTCTTGGATGAGAAGTGAAACGTCTTCAAAGAAAAACCAGAAAGTCCAGTTAGTTGCCTCTTGAGGGAAAAACAAGCACCCTTGGAATTTGATCTCAAATGTCAAGATCTGACTCAACCTAGCCTGGTACCCTCCAGCCAGGGGTGAAATGCTCCCGGTTCGGACCAGATCGCCCGATCCGGTAGCGATGGAGGCGGGTGGTTCGCAAAAATCCCTGCCCACCCCCCATACCCAGCTGAGCTGCACAATCATCAAGCTTTTTTTTTACTTTTAAAAGCATTTTTTCTACAACCTCTTCAGCTGAAAAAATGCTTTTAAAAAGTAAAAAAAAAAGCCTCTGATGATCAGGCAACTCAGCTTGGATCGTCAGAGCCATTTAAAAGAAAAAAAGACTTTTTTTTCTTTTAAAAGCCTCTGACGATCCAAGCTGAGTTGCCTGATCGTCAGAGGCATTTGAAATAAAAAAAGCCTCTGCCGATCAGGCAACTCAGCTCGGATCGTCAGAGCCTTTTAAAGCATTTTTTTACAACCTCTTCACCGAACAGGTTGTAGAAAAAATGGTTTTAAAAGTAAAAAAAAAAAATTGGCCACACCCACCCAGTCACATTACCCCACCACCACCAAGCCACGCCCACAGAACCTGTAGTAATAAATTTTAGATTTCACCACTGCCTCCAGCTGTGCCTTTTAGCTCAGGATGATGGGATCTGTCATGCAAAAGATCGATAGGGCTCCTGCCTAGGGAAAACTTGGTTGGTTGGACTCAGTGGTGGTCTTAAGTCGAGGACTTCCTGCATAGGAATCGCTATGATCCCCCCCAGAGGCATTCCCTCAGCGGAAACAAGGAATTCAGGGTTCATGGATCAGGGTTTGCCTGGCTTACCCCTTGCGGAATGGATTTCCGAACTCAAAATAGGGATGGTGATCTGTTCACCTTCCATAAATTCCCCCCTAAATCAGGGGAGGCTCCCCACACTTTTAGCACGGACGTCCCATGGCCTAGCCAGGAAAAAAAGAGATTTTCTCTGGAGCCTCCTGTGGTTGTGAAGCCCTCTCCTCCTTCTTCTGTTGCAGAACCTTCCTCAGATACCACCTACGGGATGCTGGTGGCCGATCTCTGCCACTCACTGCTCACCGACTCCAAGGCGTCCTACCTTCTAACCATCAAGAGCCATTTCGTCCTGGATGAAAACAGTTTTCCTCTGGAGAAAGACTTCCAGCTGCTAGAGTTCCACCTTGATCTCTGAAGCAGCCACTTCTAATGAGGTTCCTCATGCAATTTCACAATCGCGTAAAAAGACATAAAATGGGAGGGACAAGTGAATTGGAGGGGGGTTTGTTTGTGGTGGCGCAGTGGTTAGAGTGCAGCACTGCAGGCGACTTCAACTGATTGCTAGCTGAAGTTTGGCAGTTCAAATCTCACTGGCTGTTGTGGCCCGCCAGTGGCCTGCGTGGATTGTGGCTGGATCCCGACGACAAGGAGGCTGGTGTGGGGTCACGCCAGCAGCCTGCGCAGCCGGCACTCACGTGGGACAGCGAGGAGGCTGAAGAGGATGCGGTGCCAGAGGCAGAGACTCAGTCAGGGCCTTCAGAACCTCCAGAGGCTCCTTCAAGTGGAGAGAGCGAAGTGGAGGAGCCTCTCCTCAATGCTCGAGCACGCAGGGCTGCCAAAAGGCAGGAGTGGCTACTCAGGAGGAAGAGGTCTACTTGAGAGTAGGGCTTGAGGATAATTGGCCACTCCCTTAGCCTATTTAAGTCGCACACAGTTAGTAATTTCTTGCTGGAAACAACATGTAATTATTACAGAGCATTTTGGAGAGTGAGTGTCTTATCGTATCTTGTTTTCTGGGCTGGTTGCCAACCTTTGCCAGACTTTGTTTATTCTTGGTACGTTATAACTTTGATAAGGACCATTGGTGTGTGTCACAATCCTTGGGAATTCAGAGCTGGGGCAGAACAGCGGCTCAAGGTTGACTCTGCTTTCCATCCTTCCGAGGTGGGTAAAATGAGGAGCCAGATTGTTGGGGGCATTATGCTGAACTCTGTAAACCGCTTAGAGAGGGCTGTAAAAGCACTAGGAAGCGGTATATAAGTCTAAGTGCTATTGCTATTGTCTTGGAATGAATACATGTTATTTTTATAAATACATTTTGTACGATCTAAGAGCCATGATTTCTTCAGACAGTTATTAAAAGCTACTCAAACGATGAGTCATGTTTTCTTTTGTTGGGCTTTGATCCCCAAAACCCCAGGAATTTCCTGAAAGGGAGTTAAAGACATCTGAAAACCATCCCTGCCAATATTTTTAAATGCGTTGCCTAAAAAAATATTTTTCCTTGCCGCACCCTTTTTCGCCAGCCCCAATTTTTGCCTTCCTGTCATTGTGCTGACTTATCTGTTAGAAGTTCCACTTTTCAAAGTAAATATTGTAATGGCAGAAAGAAGCTGGCTTTAGCTACGTTATCCAACTGCTGGCAGAAATGTCTATATTCTCACTAAAAAAAAACTTTACTTCCTGGAGGAGATGTGCCAAATACAGTCAGCCTGCAAAGCAAATAAATGCTTCAAAGAGAGAAAAAAATAGGGTTTAAATTATGCACCTAATTAAAAGATACCAGGGGGAAAAAAAGCTTATTTCTCAGTCTCTTTCTCTGGAATACAAGTGGATTCAAAGTGCAGCCTTAAGTGAATTAAACGAACACTTTCCTCTTTTTGTATAATTTATGGATTTTAGCCTGGTGGACCCCAGCTGAGCTTTGATTTCTGGTGGGAAGCCTAGATCTTAAAATGTCTGGTCTTGTACTGGATGCAAACCTCACTCGCTTCTGGCACTGATGATGTTACCTAGTTGGGTAATGAAACATCTGTAAGAAAACCACCAAGCGCAGAGAGCACCAAGGACCCCACATCTGTCTGTCTGTCCGTAAACAACTGCCTAATCAAGGATGTAGGGAATTGAAGGATGACGTCGGGCAGAACGCAGCACACTGCTTCCGTTTCTGATGTCATCTATCTTCTTCCTGGATGATCTCATTCTTGGCTCTGATCTGTATTATCTCATCCTACCTAGAGAGGATGGCATCTTGAGAGGGGGGTGAATAAGTTATACAGTTAGAACACTGTTGCTGTCCTACCTTTTATCTGCCTGTATAAAACTGTATAAAAATAAAAGCTCTCGGGGAAGGAAGGGGGAGACATCTTGGAACAGAGCAAAAGCCTTGACCTCTGATTTACAACACAAGGAACCACCAAGAACACTTCCATCAACATCGACAGGGTAAGCTACTTGTATATAAATAGAAAGCAAACCCCACTCCCTTTCAGATTGATCACATTACCTCGTTGGGTAATGAAACGTCTGCAAGAAAGCTACCAAACTCCGAGGACCCCGCAGTTGAACCCTGAGCAAAAATAACCTCTATTGAGGCTGCCATTGATGTAGGCGGCTGGGAGTTTAGCTGGGCAACATCTGGAGACCTGCAGCTTCCCCATCCCTGATAGAAGATTCTTCTTTCCTCAAAGAATCCAGAGTCTACAGGCACTGCTTGTACAGGCATTGTAAAGAGCCTTGGTGGCGCAGCAGACTAAAGTGCTGTTAAGTAACACCAGCTGCCTGCAATTAGTGCGAGTTCAATTCTCACCAGGCTCAAGGTTGACTCAGCCTTCCATCCTTTTCAGGTAGGTAAAATGAGGGCCCAGATTATGGGGGCAATAAGCTGACTGTATAAAAAAGAATTTAGGGGGGGGCTGAAAGCCCTACTAAGCAGGTATATACAAAAGTATGAAGGCTATTGCTTAACGCATTGTAAGCCGCCCTGAGTCTCCGGAGAAGGGCGGCATATAAATCGAACCAATCAATCAATCAATCAATTGCTGCTCCTTCAGCCAAAGCACAGCACAAGACGGAGAGGCAGCGTTATCCTTGTAATCAGCAAAAACAATTGCTTGTCTTCTCCAAAAGTATTTACTATAGCAATTTTCACTACTTGAGTGGCTTCCGACGTAGGCAGGGAAATTCCTTTTGGCTTGTGTTAACCTTCCTGGAGTTCCTTGTGCCCAACTCAATTGTGTACTTTGAAAACTGAGGGATGGGTCTTTGAGAAGGTGCGTGTGGGAATCCAGGCAGAACCTGCTACCAGGGTCTAAAGTCTCTGGATGGCATGCAACAAACCGGTTCTCCTGTAAGATGACAATCTTCTCATTCAACATAGGTACGACTGGGAAACAGCTATTTCAGGATTGGCCCATACATTGTGTTACAATTGCACAATCTAGCTGGCACCCCTGAACATTAAAAACCATGAAAATGGCAGCCACTGGATGTAATTTCTCCCATAGGCATGCTTTCAAATAAAAATATAAACCCAGAATATTCAATGCATAAAAATACCGCCTTAATATTTAATATATGTCATAAATGCAATCTATTTACCATCATTAAAGAAAAAGTTCAAACTAAACCCTGAAGTGTGGATTGAAATAAACGAACTCTATCTCTACGTTCCTAATTTGGCCCGTCTTTTTTCTAAAGCTGAAGGGGTGAGGGGGAGTGCAAAGAGACCCGGCCTCCCAACCTCTGGGAGCGGCACCATCACCGGTTCACAACAGCTTCCTTACAGATGCACCGAAAGGCCAGGAAAAAGCGGGCAGCCAAGGTTATGGGCGATAAGCAAATGAGTGGCGGTGAGGAGAGGATACCCCGCTAACTAGGTAATGAAAATAATCGCTATCTTTGCCTCTACCGCACACTTCAGGGACTATTTCGACCACGATTGCTCAGGAATCAGGAAATGCGGGGCTGATCTGGCTCACTTGCGGCACCGCCAGGCTTGTTGCTAGACGTGCACTCCGGCAATGTAGAGCAGAAAAGAGGACGGGGGAAAAAACAGGGCACCACGCTGCAAATAGACCGGAAGCGGGGGACAGGTAAGACGGACTGACAGGAAGTCGGCCATGCTGGAAAGGTCGTTTTCCAAAGGCCTTTTAGGGGACGGCCGCGGAGGTCTGACAGGAAATCTGCCATGTCTGAAAGGTCGTTAGAGGGACGGCAGCGATGAACGGACAGGAAGTCGGCCATGACGGAAAGGTCGTTTTTAATGGCATGGGGGACGGGCGCGGAGGTCGTACGGGAAATCCGCCACGACAGGAAGGTCGCGGGGAAAGGAAGTTGAGGTTACGGCTAAGGAGCACGGACAGGAAGTCGGCCATGACGAGAAGGTCTTTTTTCCCCCCAAAGGCACTAGTGGGGCGGCAGCGGAAGTCCATCATGATGGGAGGGTCGCTGTGAAAGGAAAATGGTGGGGAAGCGGCGGAGAGAAGACAGGAAGTCGGCCATTTTGAGAAGGTCGCTTGGAGAGGCAGAAGGTGGCAGCCATGCAGAGGAGTCCAGCTGCCTATGGTGGGACTACACTGTGCACGAACGCCATCACTCTGCTAAACAACCAATTCCCACAACAGTCAGATTAGCTACTGTATTACTATTCTTCTCCTCCTCCTTCCTAGTACCTACCTCTTCCCACTTATGGCTATATCCATGTTGTTTGTATCTTTACTTATATTGTTTTTATTGTTTCCTAGTATGATTTGATTCCTTATTTGTACCCTATGATTATCACTAAGTGTTACCTTGATTCTTGACTGATGTATCTTGTCTTTTTATGTACACCGAGAGCGTATGCACCAAAGACAAAATTCCCTGTGTCCAATCACACTTGGCCAATAAAGAATTCTGTTCTGTTCTGTTCTGTTCTGTTCTATTCTATCTATCATTTCCTAGTATGATTTGATTGCTTATTTGTGCCCTATGGCTATCATTAAGTGTTGTACCTTATGATTCTTGACGAACGTATCTTTTCTTTTTATGTACACTGAGAGCATATGCACCAGACAAAATTCCTTGTGTGCCCAATCACACTTGGCCAATAAATTCTATTCTATTCTATTCTATTCTATTCTATTCTATTCTATTCTATTCTATTCTATTCTATTCTATTCTATTCTATTCATCTATCTATCTATCTTTCTATGTTTCCTAGTAAGATTTGATTGCTTATTGGTATCCTATGACTATCACAAAGTGTTATTATCTTATGATTCTTGATGAATGTATTTTTTTCTTTTTATGTACACTGAGAGCATATGCACCAAAAACAAATTCCTTGTGTGTCCAATCACACTTGGCCAATAAAGAATTCTATTCTATTCTATTCTATTCATTATCTATCTATCTATCTACTATTTATCATCTATCTATTTGTTTCCTAGTATGATTTGATTGCTTATTGGTATCCTATGACTATCACTAAGTGTTGTTCTCTTATGATTCGTGATGAATATTTCTTTTTTCTTTATGTACACTGAACATTATGCACCAAAGACAAATTCCTTGTGTGTCCAACCACACTTGGCCAATAAAGAATTCTCTTCTACCGATGCTCCCTCCTTTTCATTGGGGCATCCCATTGTGGACAATTTTTGGGCCTATATTTTCTACCCTGCCTACTTCGGAAGTTCCCTGGGAACCCATATTCCCAAGGTTTCTTCAGCCAACTATTTTAGTTCTTGCATGGTTCGTCCTATCATTCTCAGTGCCTCCCAATCCCACACCTATCCTTTGCAAATCTCCACTATCAAAAAAACTCCATATGAGAATAGTTTTATAGAATCAGTACATTGTTCTCAAATCAATACATATGTCTAATTTGCTTTCCTTATAGACTTTGTGAACTAACAACTGCAACAACAAGCTGAACCTTTTGAGGCTGAAGACGTGTTAGAAATGGTATGTACATTTATGGCAGAGAGGATCAAGGAAAAGTATTTGGAGAGGAAATTAGCGGAGCATGCAGAGACAGACAGCAATAACTGTCATTTTTCCAAAGGCATGTAAAGCATTCCAATTCAAACCATTCTGATTATGAAATTTCACAAAATGGACCCCTGAATGTAAAGCTTGCCGTTTTGAACATGAAACTGTTTTGAGCATCTGGAACATGATCTTAAGCTTTGACGATAAGCTTCCAGAATGCTCAAAGTGGTTCAAAATGAAACTCTTATTACAGACCCAAAGCTTTTTGTTGTCCCACTGCATTAAAACATTTCTTTTAAAAGTACACTTTCTCTGCTGGGCTACAGGTTTTTTACCCAGAAAATAATTTGGTGTTGAACTAGAACAGGGAGATTGTAACGGTTTACTGGATGATTTGGGTGCCATCATTTATCTCTTCTTGTTGGATCTATTGGGGCTGATGTTGCGGGGGAAAACTGAAGGACAAAATGCAGATCAATTGACAAATAATACTGAGAAAGAGAAAGGAGACGTCAATGACCTGATATTCAGAATAATATCCGGGTCTGGAAAACTTGTAACGGTGCCAGATTCGATCATCATTTTTTAAATAATAGAGGTAAAACAAGATTATGATCAAAATGATGTCTGCTAAAACCTTCAAACATCCTGTTGCATCTTACTATTGTATTCTCCGGAGACTCAGGGCGGCTTACAATGCGTATTCAGTATTGCCATTCCGAAACGCAATACTTGCATGTTAAAAAGAACAAATACACGATTCGAGATAGACCTGGAATATTTTATTCTTTGTCAACTATGCCTTCCTATCATGCACCAACAATTATTCTTATCTTGTTTCATGTACATAAAACACATTATGAAGCACCCTGATTATGTAAACAAATCAAAATATTTCAGCAGAACTAAAGTTGGGTCCTTAAAAAATATCTGGAAATTTAGCTTTTTTTTTACTCCCAATTGGCTGGCATTACGCATTAAGCTAGGGGTGCAAAAGTGTGGCACACAGATCCCATCCTACAAAAGGAGAGAAACAAGAATTGTTTACTAGTGTCTGTGCATGATTAAAAGAAACGGCAATCCAATGCATGATAGAAAGTATCTTGCACTGCCAAAATTGTTACCGTGTGCCACATAGGATTTATCTTACGGCATAAGAGATCCGTTTACACCCAAAGAATACTCGAGAGAGCCCTGCACGACTTTGTGGCTCAAGACTCCCTCCTTCAGTCCTTTGGCTTGAAGCAAGAACAAAGAGGGCTTAGCTTTTACCAACGATGGTAAATGAAACCGCCTTTGCTTCACCAATTCATAACATCAAGCATTTTTTTTTCAGCAACCAAGTCACTAGGGTTTTTTCCCTTCAGTTACGGATGTCCCAGCAGCGTCCCCTTCCCAAAGCGCAGGGGGAATCCACACCTCCCCGCCCCACCGCGGTCCTCCTCCCTTAGTTGTTCATGAGCCCCTTCAGGAGATCTTCGGAGAGCTCCACCAGTGGGAACTCCGGGGAGGGAATGTCCAAGGGGGGAAGGCTGGGGATGGGAATGTCCTTGCCCTTCCCAGCACTGACCCCCAATTTCTGCCAGGGGATGGTGGCTGCAGCGGCGGCGGCAGGTTCCGAAAGCTGCTGGAGGCCCCACAACTCCGACTTCTCCACAAAGTCAGCATCTGCATCCAGCTCCTTTTCCAGGGGAGACTTCAGCAGCCTGGCTCTCTCCGCTTTTAGCTGCCGGTTCTCCCATCTCAGTCTCTCGTTTTCGGCAAACAGCATCTCCACGTGCTGTTCGAGGACTGCAATTTTGGTGGCCTGCTCTTCCATTTTCATCTTGTCGTCCTTGGGAGGTCTGCTCTTTACGCAGGCGTCCAGGGGAGGCTCCTTCCTCTTCTGAAGCAGAAAGAGCAGTGTGTCCGGATCCCTGTCCAAGACTCCGTGGAACCCCTTCATCTCCTTCTCCAAGGGGGCCCTGTACTTGAGGCTGGCGGGCGTTCCGTGTTGGTCCTCAGGTTCCTCAGCTGAGGGCTTAGAAGAGGTCTGCAGATGGGCCACGCTCTCTTTGTCCACAAGAGGGCGTGCTTTCAACCTTTCGTCCCTTTTGGTTCTTTTCCATCGCTCTTGGATAAGGGGGATCTGTTTCAGGTGAGACTCCCTTTGCAATTCCAGGGATAACTGGGCCTGCCAAGAAACAAAAGGATAAGTCTCCTTGATCTGCTTTTCAGGGGGAGGGGGGAGGGAGCGAGATAAAACGAGTTTTGGCATCCGAAGAATCACAAGTTCTAGAGCTCCCACCAGTTGGTGCAACGTAACTTCAGTTTTAGAAGCCCAGTTGGGGATCAAATATCAGTACATCTGCTTTGTTGTCTGATTGTTAAGAACAAAGCCAATGATTTTAATCAGAAAATAAAACTTTTTTTCCTAATATATAGAAACTTTTTCTATACATGAACAATTTGCTAAATCATAAATCTTTTTATTTAAAGTTCATCTTTATGTCAAGCAAGCAACGACAACACATAAATTCAGCCTTCCCACCCCAGTCTTTTCCCTCCAGACTGCAGCTGAGAAAGGCTGGTCTTCCTTCCTGGAGAAGCTGGCACCAACCCAGATGGCAAGTTCCACAAGAATAGGAACGAAGAGCCCCCAGTGCCTGATGTTGCCGAGCAGTGGTTTTACTTTCTTTCCCCGATGGCTGCCCAGTTCCTACACAAGAGTGCAAATGGTGTGGAATATTTGCGCTCAGGTAGAAAATCAACTGACCCAACTCAGCAGTGTACCAATTACTAGTAGCTGGCTTGTCAAGCCATACTCCCAGTTGCAGCCATTCTTCACTCCTTCCAAGATAGCCACATTTGGTGCAAAAAAAACCAAGGTAGGACAAGCCATCATGTCCTGATGCATTGCAGCTTCTATGTGGGTAAATTTCTTCCTTTATATGCTACCTTTATTATTTTTTATACACAACTCAAGGTGGTTGTCGAAGCGTGAATCAGCTTTGTTCCCCCCTCGGGAAACTGTAATTAATTAGAGGTGACTGGACCTTGTTTTCCATGGTGCATACTCTAAAAGAAATAAAACCCGAAGTATATATTCTAAGAAACATTTTATTATAAAGAAATAAAAAACAATCTTACTAGCTATTAATTACATCTTGGCAAACTTCCCTGCCTTCCCGGCAGAAGTTCTGACAGACGAACAAAGAAAGTGAAGAAAGGAAAAGAATGTGAACATGCGCAGTAGTTTAGAGATAAGGTGCCCAGCATCTACCGTAAGTCTTAGAATGGGAGCACAGCTGGCAAACACAAAAAAATGCAGTGACAGTGGTGAACATCCCCAATACACTGTCCTCCTCCTATTTTCCCCACAATAATCACCACACAACCCTGAGTTGGAGCAGAGATGGAGTGACTGGCCCAAGGTCACCCAGCCAGCTTTCATGGCTAAGGCAGGACTCAAACTCACAATCTCTGGTTTTCTAGCCTGGTGCCTTAACCATTAGACCCAACTGGGTATTGATATAGCAATAAATATGTGAGGCATACAAGTCATAATCTTCCCCCCCCCCCAATATCTGTTATTTTCTGGGGTCACAGTCACACCTAGGACGGTTCACTGTTAGAGCGGCCATTGAGGAGGGAAGCCTCACCTGATCTGATTGAGTCAACTTCATAGCTTCCAGAAGATACGCTGCATAAGACACAAAATAGTGACACGGTTTAGAGAGGCTGCTTTGTGCAGCTGCCCTCCCCCCCATCTAAAGCGAACTGGAGGATGGGTGACCTCGGTCGGGCAGGGCTTCTACAGCCACTTGGCACAGACAGAACGCCCAAGGCAGGACAAAAGGTGCCCTCTTTTAAAAGGAGTCTCCCCCCCCCCATGGCAACTGTTATTTATTTATTTATTTATTTATTTTTCAATTTATATACCGCCCTTCCCCCTGAGGACTCAGGGCGGTGCACAGCCAGAATTAAAAACATGAAATACAAATATTAAAAACAATTAAAATCTATATAAATTTGGCCCAAAATTTAAAAAAACCACAAACCAATTAAACATTTAAAAATTTTAAAAAATTTCTTCCTAAGCCAGCCCGGCTTGCTGGAAAAAGTGGGTTTTAAGGGCACGGCGGAAGGCACTGAGGTCTTGGATTCTCCTTATCTCTGGGGGCAGCTGATTCCACTTTTGATAAGTGAATGGAAAATCACTTTTATTTTCAAACGTGAATCTTAAAAGCTGTACGTGAAGTACAACTTGATAGCCATACTGCTTCCTGCAACCTCTTTACAAGCAGCATTGCGAGAAGACCTTCACGCTCTGAACTGGGAGTGTTAGGACAATGGGCATAACTGTCGATTCCCTGTAAGAACTGTGATTCCGGTTTCAATGGCAATGACACACTTATTTTTTTCCATTTATATCTCACCTTTATTATTTTGATAAACAACCCAAGGCGGCAAACACAGCTAATACTCCTCCCTCCTCTTATTTTCCCCAAAACAACTAACCCGTGAGGCGAGGTGAGCTGAAAGAGAGCGACTGGCCAGTCACCCAGCTGCCATTCAAGCCAAAGGCGAGACTAGAACTCCCAGTCTCCTGGTTTCTAGCCTGGTGCCTTCACCACCACCCAACTTTTCACTGTGATCCTTATATCCTGACCCAGTAAGGATCTCACCTACTTACCACACCTTTTGCACTGACTTAGCTTCTGCCCTAACAGGGATGCCTGGGGGATTCAAGCAAACACCCACAAGGGCTCACCTGCTGCCTTTCGGTGACAGGACACGGCTTCTTCGTACTTCCCCGCAGCCAGCAAACGGTCAGCTTTTCTGCTCTGCTGATGAGCCTAGAAAAACCCAAACCTTTAAAGCACCAGGAGAGGATGCGGCTGCTTGAATGCCTCTAATGAGAGAGATCTGCAGATTAACTGACCCCATGGAATGACATGTACATGACTTACAAAAATGGTAAAAGGATTACCTGCCTGGATGCTCACTGTCTGGGCACAAAGCTAAGAGAACTTGCAAAGTTGCTCACAAGATGGGAGAGGCTGAGTAAAACAAGAAAAGCAAAAGGCCCCCCACACACACAAACACACACACACACACACACACACACACACACACACACACACACACATAACCCTTGTGAAACAAGAACATCTAATCTGGACTGCGCCTCTAAACTGAAGCCATTCACACCCCATGTTCTCTATTCATGCAAGATTATTGCTCCAAAGTATTTTAATTTGTTAACTTAAACATAATTTAAGTGTTTGCTTACAAACAACCGGTTCTCTGGTTATTCCTAAAGCAAGAGCACAATAACCCCCCCTCTAGCGCCTAAAATTTATCCCCAAAATAGGTTAAGATAGATGTCACAGGTGGTCCCCAACTTACAACTGAATTCCCATCGTAGGTCATGATGGTCGTTGAGGCACTCACACAATCAACCTGATTTTACAACCTTTGCTGCAGCGCTCATTAAGCAAACACCTTGGTCGTTAAGCAAGTCAACGCATTCCTACGGGCACCAACTGGATTGCTTAGTTGCTTATCCTGCGACTGATGGAACGCTGCAACTGGCTGTAAAGGCAAGTTGGTTGAAATGCAGGCACCTGAAATGCAGCCATGTCATCACAAGTGTTGTGTATGAGTTCCGGAACTGGGTTGTAAGAACCTTTTGAGGTCCATTGTAACATCAATCAGTCACTAAGCAAGGACCACCTGTACTGTGATCCCAATGGGTGTCTGACCGCTGCATTTTTTGCCTCAGACGTGGCTTTTCTGTGTCCTCTCCAAAGGTCCTCCCGGAGACAGGATCGCAAAACTCCAACCAGACGATGAGCAATCAAAGCCTGCATTGCTGGGAGCATCTTGGTCAAGGTTACAAGAAACCTCTCTGCCTTCCTGAGAGATGGAGGGACGGAGAGACGGGAGAGGGAGGACGCTTTGCCCTGCCCAGACCCATCCCATCCCCCATTTATTTATTAGTTTGATTTATATGCTGCCCTTCTCTGGAGACTCAGGGCGGCTTACAATGCTTTTAAGGAATAGCCTTCATAACTTTGTATATACCTGCTTAGTAGGGCTTTCGCCCCCCAACCCAAAGCGGTGTTCTATTTTATACAAAGTCAGCTTATTGCCCCCACAAACCGGGTCCTCATTTTACCTACCAGGGAAGGATGGAAGGCTGAGTCAACCTTGAGCCTGGTGAGAATTGAACTCGCAGTAATTGCAGGCAGCTGGCAACTAAATACTACTTTTAACAGTAGTTTAGTCCACTGCACCACCAGGCTCCTGCACCACCCATGAAATCAGCCAGGAGGGCTACAAATCGAGTCAAAATTTAGACTCCCGAGGGCTCCGTCCACTTCCACAAGGAAAGGGATCACAAAACAATGCGCCAAATCCCCAGCCGAGAAAAAGGGAGAAACGGCTTTGTCGAGATATCTCCCGATTCATCCCCTGGAAAGCCTCGTTAGACCCCAACAAAGGGGCCAGGATTCTTCCCAGGAGGCTGCCAGGACAGGAGCCTCTCCGAGCGGCGCCAAAGGCCCAGCAGCAGCCTGCGGGCACCGAGTCAGGTCGCCTCCTCGCCCCCCTCAGAGGCACTGAGGCCCCATGGGGGGGGGGAGAGCCTCGGAGAGAGCCGCCTTGCCTGCCCAGCGCCTCGAGAGCGGAGGGCCGCCTGAGCAGACGCCGCCACGGGACCCTCTTCTAACTGGCGACCCCGGGGCGAAGGCCGGCCAGGCTCCGCGCCCACCACCTCGCCTTTCCCGGGAAGGAGGCGCTTTAAATCCTGCTTGGCTGCTCATGGGCCGATATGGGGCCTTAGAAGGCCGGGTCGCCGACGGAGCCAACGGGGAAGCACCGGGCCGGCCGGATCTTCCCCGCTCGCCCGGCCAAGGTCCCTCCGAGCGGCCCTCACCAGGTTGAGCGGCGCCTCCATCGCCTCCATGGGCGGCTGCGGGGACATCGGCGGCGCCAGGCGGGCCTCCCCGCCGCCCCGCGGGCGTCTCTTTCTCTCTCTCTCTTTTCCCCTCAGCCGCGCTTCCGCCTGCCCGCGACGTCACTGGCGCGCGCCGCCCGCCGCCAATCGCCAAACAGCCACGACGTCACCCCGCGCGCCGCCAGTCAGTCACGTCATCGCGCGCCGGCGGGCCGACGCTTCTGATTGGCGGGATCGCCTCGCCGGCAGCTCCCTCTCCGATTGGGCCCGGCTACCGCTGACGTCACCCCGACGGAGCCTGAAGTATGGGGGCCTCGGGGCCTCCAAGCTCTTTCGCCTCGCGCCCTGCTTGGGGAAACGGCCCGGAGGAAAGCGGCCTCCGTACTAGGCTTCGTCCGGCTATTTCAGCGTCCCTCTAGGCTTCCCAAAAACCCGGGCGCATCCCCAGCTGCCAGCAACACCGGCCCCGCGGGGGCCGTTGGGAGTCGTAGTTCCGCGCGGGCCGCTGGGAGTCGCCCTTCTTCCGCATCCGGAGGCTGCAGGAGGGCAGGGCAGCGAGAGGGCGCCGGAATGAGCGGCCGTGCCCTGGCGGGAGGGAGGGGGCTACTTCCGCCCCACGAGCGGGGGAGGGGGGAGGGGTTTCCCCGGGGCCGCCCCCTGCCTCCTCCCGGGTGGGGGAGGGGCGGTTGGGATCCCGGAGTCCCAGATGAACGTTTGGATTCAAAGCTTGACCTGAACACGTGTCCTACTTCAGAAAAAGCTTTAGATTTGTTGGTTGCCTTTGAATTTATAATAATAATAATAATAATAATAATAATAATAATAATAATAATAATAATAATAATAATAATAATAATAATAATAATAATGAAAGCTAGAACGAAGAAATACGTTGAGGTGGCTTGATCTATTTTGACATGTGAGTAAAGCACCACATTGAAATAGGCAAAATTTACATCTCAGACTTAAAACTTTCGAGACTGGACTGCCATTTGTCAGAGATGGCGTAGTAGGGTCTCCTTGGGGGGGGTTGGACTAGATGACCTACAAGGTCCCTTCCAACTCTATTAATCTGAAAAAAACTCTGTTAATCTGCAAAATTTGAGAAACTATTTTACGCCTGAGAAAAATCACATCTGCTCCCTCCCCAGTTCGAACTGTTGTGAATGCTGCATTTGAGACCCGAGTTTTTTGAGCCAGAATTTTCTAGAACACGGGTCTCCAACCGTGGCAACTTTAAGCCTGGAGGACTTCAACTCCCAGAATTCCCCAGCCAGCAAAGCCTAGAGGACAGAATTCTCCAACCAGCAAAGCCTTCAACTCCCAGAATTCCCCAGCCAGCAAAGCCTGCATGACTTCCCAGAATTCCCCAGCCAGCTGGGAGTTGAAGTCTGCCAAGCTTAAAGTCACCAAGGTTGGAGACCCCTGCTTTAGAAGAGGTTTGAGCCCTTATGGATCTCTTTCGTGGAAGTTTTGCAGCTGGCCAAAAGTGTTTCCTTTTTCTATGTTCCTAACTACCTTTGGAGTGTGAATTTGGCTCTGGCATACTTGAGTTTTCTTCACCTGCTGACCTTCTTCAGTTGCTTCCGGTTCCACAGAATTGCATCAGGGAAAGATGCAACAAAAAAAAAGGCTGCCTTTTTCATCTATTGCCTACAATTTATTTTTAACATATTTGTACGGCTGGCCATCTCACATACATGACTACAGACTGCTAACATTAAAAAAACAAAAACATTTTTTAAAAAACCCCAAGTTTTCATTGCTGGGCAGATCCCACCAGGGTCACAGCAAGCCCAATCTTTGGAGGGGTGAAGGTGGGCAGAAGAGGCCTGGGCCTTGCAGATGGTAACCCCAGTCTCTCCTGATGGGATCTTTTACCCGACAGGTATGGTTCCGTAGGATATTTATCTGGAAATACGACTCACTTTGCTTCTTAAAGCAAGGGTGAAATCCAGCAGGTTCTGAAGAACCGGTTGCGGAAATTGTGAGCAGTTCGGAGAACCGGCAAATACCACCTTTGGCTGGCCTCAGAGTGCGGTGGTAATGGGGATTTTGCAATATCCTTCCCCCAAGAGTGGGGAGGGAATGGAGATTTTACAGTATCCTTCCCCTGGAGTGGGGTAGGAATGGAGATTTTGCAGTATCCTTCCCCTGCCACGCCCACCAAGCCACAGCATGCCCACCAAGCCATGCCCACAGAACTGGTAGTAAAAAAAATTTGGATTTCACCACTGTGTTAAAGGCACATTGTTATTATCTGGCTGCAGACTAATGCATTCTAGTTAGATGCTATGGAGGGAATCATTAGCTACACTGGCAATCAAATTATTACAGTCAGGCTACTTACAATGTTCTCAGCTTTATAAACTCCCATCGGCTATGGCTGATCAAACTAGGGTTGTTTTTTCCCCCCGAAACAAACAGTTCACCTTCTTGCAGCTGCAAAATATATTGATTTATGGCTGGATAACCTTTAGTGTAAAATAGGCAAAGGCGTTCATATGCACACAAAGTCCTTCACCCAAAATTAATATAATATTAAAAAGAAACAAACATGTTCCCTACAATTCTTTGCCCCTTTTCTTTTATATGAATAGGGAGGCAGTAAAACTAAGCCACTTCCGGACACTTAGCTTTATTGTGTTGTTGTGGGAAAAGAAGAGTGCTGTGCATTTAAAACCTGAACAGAAACTTAACTTTGAATCAAAACCTATTCAGGCAGATGTGATCTATTGAGAACTGGGAGTTTGGCATAGGTTGACCATGTATTCCACATACCAGGAGGCAGTGGTGAAATCCAATTTTTTTTTACTACTGGCATGGCTTGGTCGGCGTGGCAGGGGAAAGATACTGCAAAATCTCCATTCCCACCTCACTCCAGGGGAAGGATATTGCAAAATCTCCATTCCCACCCCACTCCAGGGGAAGGATACTGCAAAATCTCCATTCCCACCTCACCCCAGAGGAAGGATATGGCAAAATCCCCATTCCCTCCCCACTCCAGGGTAAGGATATTGCAAAATCTCCATTCCCACCCCACTCTGGGGCCAGCCAGAGGTGGTATCTGCCAGTTCTCCGAACTACTCAAAAATTCCGCTACCGGTTCTCCAGAACTGGTCAGAACCTGCTGGATTCCACCCCTGCCAGGAGGAGAACTAAACACAACCACACATCCTGGTGATCCAGGCACTTCCTTTGCATCATGTCTCCCCTCTCTTGAGAAGAATCCTCAGTCCTTGGGCTGGAAATGCTGCAGTCCCAACAAAGCCACAGAGCGCAAAGATGGAGCAGCTTGAATGCCTGTGGAGATTCTCAAATCACCCAGGTCATGGTTGTCCGAAAGGCGTTTTTTCCCAAAAGGCCACTGGACTTTCTTGGGTTGTTATTTTTGTTTGAAAACATTTCGCTTCTCATCCAAGAAGCTTCTGCAGTTGGGCAGGTTAGCAATTTTGGACCTCCACAATCCTAAAAAGTGAAGTAGAGCCATTTTTTTTTTACACATTACAGGCCTGGGAAGAGAAACTTTTTCCTTTTGCTATGGTGCTTACATTCCCTTCTGAAAGGGAGCCCATTTCAGCACCTGCAGATGCAGCTGGCTGGTTTCAGTTGTCCAAATAGAGCACGAAGGGGTTTGGGGCAGTGGTGGGATTCAATTTTTTGAACTACTAGTTCTTTGGGCGTGGCTTGGGCGTGGTGTGGCTTGGTGGGCATGGCAAGGGAAAGGATACTGTAAAATCTCCATTCCCTCCCCACTCCAGGGGAAGGATACTGCCAAATCCCCATTTCCTCCCAATCAGCTGGGACTCAGGAGGCAGAGAATAGATGGGGGCGGGGCCAGTCAGAGGTGGCATTTGCAGGTTCTCCGAACTACTCAAAATTTCCGCTACCGGTTCTCCAGAACTGGTCAGAACCTGTTGAAACCCACCTGTGGTTTGGGGATCAATTGATGACCCAGCTGAAATGGGGCAAGAGAAGAAAATGCTAAGGGTTCGCAAAAGACCGAAGACCCATTTTTCAGATTCGTACTTGGATCAGAATCCTTACAAAAGCAAGGCCTCTGATTCAAACTCGGTGGGGCCAGGAAAAAAAGTATTCTTGATAGACTCATAGAACCACTTGGAGATTTAATACTTTCTCCCTCTGTCTCACTGAGTATCCCCCAACTTTAAAATCTCCCCCGCATTCAAGTGTGCAATTTGCCAATAAGTTTTGGGGAGAGGTGTCGGGGGAAGTCCCATGGAGGCGAATTCGTCATGACGAAGGTTGTGCCAAAGTAGTTGCTCTGTTAAGGGTGCTGGAAAACATTCTGCTAGTGATCTTCCCTTCAGTAACAGTAACAGAGTTGGAAGGGATCTTAGAGGTCATCTAGTCCAACCCCCTGCTCATCAGGCCTCTTTCTAAGGTTCAGTATGGAAATGAAAGCACGTGGGATACTCGAGGTGAAAAACAGACACTTCAGATATGAATCTAGACATTGAAGAAGCTGATTTAATCCATGGGGAAGTGCGGACATTTCTTGTTTGATCGTCTTTGTGGAACCCGCGTGATTAAAATTGAGCAGGAGGCCGGACTAAAAGACCTCCAAAGTCCATTCCAGCTCTGTTATTCGGTTACAATCGTCTCCACTGGTATGAAAAATAAAGCAGGGCTTGAAGTCTTTA